TATACAGAGGGCCGTTTGTACAGGTGATTGTCTTACAGATGGCCGTTTGTACAGGTGATTGTCTTATACAGAGGGCCGTTTGTACATGGGATTATCTTATACAGATGGCCGTTTGTACAGGTGATTGTCCTATACAGATGGCCGTTAGAGCAGGTCTTATTGTCATTTAGTTTTAGTAAAAATGTTAAAACACCTGCAACACAATTAGGTTGAATAAGCCCAGAAGATTAAATAAATGAATAAATCTAGAGCCAGGAGCTTTGGAATAAATTCCATCAATCTCTAAGAAAATATAAGTGTGAAGAACCTGAGTTTGTTTTTGGTAAAAAAGAAGAAAATCGACAAATAATGGTCATTTAGTGAAGGGAAAAAGTTCGACAGACAGAAACAACAGAGGGAAAGTAAAGAAGTAGGACCTACCAGTGGCACCCTCCAACCACTCGCACAGAACATGAAACTGGAAAAATGACATACAAGTGCTGAAGTTTAGAGGAGTTACAAGAGAGTATCAAACACAAAAAAAAGGAGAGATAAGGATGATACATGCATGACAGGAAACAAGGAGCAAACCACGACAGAGCACCTGCCAACCACCCACTTGCGTCGAGTGTGATCTAGTAAAAAATGCATTAGCACACACAGGACAGACCTCCAAATATGGATCCTGTGACAGAGCTCCCCTCTTGAGTAGCGTTCGAGTCTGTCGCTGAAGAGACTGTGGCTGGTGAGGCTCGGCTGCTGGCGGCTGTGGCTGCTGTTGTCCCTGCTGCGGCTGATAAATTCTTCTGAGCGTCTTTGGCCGACGACTCCTGGCCGTCTGATAACCAACGAGAAACAAATCAAGGTAATGTTTTTACTTCTCGTAAGAGGTTTTCAGCACTTGCAACACAATAAGGGCATTTAAGCGTCGTAGAATAGATGTGTTACAAGAGAGTAACATACACAAAAAAGAAAGAAAGAAAAGGACTATAAATATTTGATAGGCAAGAAGGAGCAAACCAAACCAGAGCACCCACCAACCACCCACAAAAACAAGGTAAGTAGAAAGGAGTTCAGAAATATAATTTATGACAATTTTGGTACAGAAAGTTGACATCACATTTTAAAGCTACTTGACAGACGTATACAAAGAATGTAATATTATGTATAAAAAATGTATAAAAACTTCTATGATAAAAAAATTGTTAAACCTGTGGCACAGCAAAAAGCATGAGAATCATGACATTTTCTGGTAAAAACGACAATATAACACATACACGCCCAGAAAAAAAAAAAATTCCAGTGTTCACATCACAAAAGTGCCAACTAGCTATGAAACCCCCCCTGAACATTTTAGACCCTCTGAAAACATACACACATACACACACACGAGGAGGTTTAAAATTTACACATCATATTGTCTACCACATCTTGTATCAAGAATATTTCATACACTATATTATTTGGAACAATATCCGGACAATTTAAAAAGTTCGGCACCCCCCGGGGCAGTGCCACAGACTGAAGTGTCTTTGGACCATTCACAAAGGGGGGACATTAACATGTTGTTAGGCACAGTAGAATTGTAATTGGGCTGATTTATCAATGTCATGCTTATAACTGTGCCTGAACTGCAACAGGTAAGTGCTGCTTTTTCTTTCCTAATCCTTACTATTGTCATCTTTCCTCTACTTCTTTTGTATGTTTGTCACACTCTTGTGACCCGCTATTTCCGGTGTACCTTGATAGTCAAAGCAGACTTTGTGCTGTTGAAGCTAGAGAGGTGAGCAGAGTAAGCCTGATTCCTCATAGGGACTTCAATGTTGACATCCACCCCTTGGCGCTCACATGACCTTATGCAGTTGCGAGCACCGTAAAAACTCTACTAAAACTAAAAAGAAGTTTGGATTTATCCGTAAAAATCATCACCATCGCCATCAGGATCTCACCTGGTACTTTATCGGACGGCCCAACGGCAGGCGTGTCACTTTTCCCCTCCGGCTTGGCCAGGTCGGAAAACCCAAAACCCTTGGAGGGCGTGGCCACCGAGCCAAACACTGCACCACCTGACCCGCTCGCGGCTGTGCCCGGACTCATCTTTGACCCAAAGAGGGCTGGACCTCCGAAAGAGAAACCTTGGGGACGGAAAAGAGGGAGAGTTGAGGCGAGTTCAGTTTTTGTACTTAAAGAGGTTAAATAAAACAAAGAAAGAGAGAAAGAGGGAAGAAAAGAGTGGTGGGAGGGTGAGAAGAGAGAAGTGGGGTGGGGGAGGAGGGGGAGGAGGGTGAGAAGA